GATCCGTAGACGTATTGGGATGGCCAAGGACACATTCCAAAAGCTGGGCAGTGTATTGCTAGACACGAGAATTTCTTTGGTAACAAAGAAAAGAATACTGAGCTGTTACGTGACGTCTTTCTTTACGGCAGCGAAAATGCTGGACGGTCTCCTCAAAGATGAAGAAGAGACTCGAGGCGACGGAGATGTGATTCTACAGAAGGATGATGAGGATATCATGGACTGAACATGGGAGCAACGATTAGGTCTTAGAGAGGATGCGAACAAGGAGGAGGTTTATACTTAACATCAGGAAGAGGCAGTTGAAGTTTCTGGGACACATAATGAGCAAGGAGGGCCTGGAGAATCTGATACTTACGGGTTGAATAGAGGGAAAGAGAGACAAAGGAAAACAACGCGTGTCATATAGAGGCTCAAGAAAGTGGATGACGGAACGTGGTCTGGGAGAGATAGCAGAGGGAAGGAACTTGTTGAAAGCCTCAAGGGATAGGATTCGATAGTGGATTTGCCATTTCTCTCCTGGAAATTAGCATCAGCTTTTTATGGCAGGCTGGAAATAATTCATCGGGATTAAATGAAAGTAGTTTTTTGGTGGATGCGTTAAAATAACGGATTTTTGCCTTTTTTAACCACTGATTGAAGGTTCATTTCTCAAGCAGCTTCTTTTAGAGTTTCAGATTTCGGGCCTGGGGGCTCCCAGGAGACAAGACAGGATCAATAAAAAAAAAAAAATCATTTTAATGCATTTTGTCGGAAAATCATCATTCCAATGTAATTCTATGTTAAATAAAAAAAAGATCATAGTACTTTCCCGTAATAAAATCTTTTTCAACGCATTTTTGTAGTAAATGCAAATCTACAAGCTCATTCAATCAGTAAATTTATAATAAACACATTCATTCAGCATATCTATAAAAAAATTTTCCTCAGCATTCCTATAATAAATCCATTTTGTCAGCATTCCTATAATGAAACCATTCACTCAGCATTGCTCCCATGATAAAACCGTTCACTCAGCATTCCTATAATAAAACCGTTCACTCGGCATTCCTATAATAAAATCATTCACTCAGCATTCCTATAATGAAATCATTCATTCAGCATTCCTATAATAAAAACCGTTCACTTTTTTTTCCTATAATGAAATTGATTCAATTGCATTCCTATAATGAAACAATTCATGATTTTTCCTATAATAAACCTATTCATTCAGAATTCCTATAAAAATCCATTCACTTAGCAAATGTATAAAAAAAAACATTCCCTCAATATTCCTATAATAAGCCCATTCACTCGGCGTTCCTATAATAAAACCATTCATTCAGAATTTTATAATGAAACCATTTTCTTGCATTTTTGCAATAAACCTTTCTTCATTCAGAATTCTATAAAATTTTCACTTAGCAAATGTATAAAAAAACATTCCCTCAATTTCCTTAAGCCCATTCACTCTTTTCCTATAATAAAACCATTCATTCAGATTCTATAATAAACCCATTCAATTCATTTTTTAATAAACCTAATTTTTCATTATTCCTTAATAAACCCTTTTTTCTCAACATTTCTTAATACCTTCCTTTTTGGCGTTCTATAATAAGCACATTCACTCAGCATTTCTTTAATAATCCCAATCACTCAACACACTATAATAAACCCATTTTTTATTTCTACTATAAACTTCTTCATTTTTTTTTATCATAAACCCATTCAAAATTTTCTTCCTAGAATGAGGCCATTTCATCTTTGTTTTAATATAAATATTCATGTCACCCTTTTCTCAGTCTGACAGTCATTATTTTTCTCCAATTATGATATTCCTGAAACTGTTTAACTTTCGTACTTTTTTTTAGTTTGGAAGAACTGATGTATTTTTTTTTTTATTTTCTTGACACCTTCTATTACTGTATACAATCTTAACTTTTTCGGTAATATTCATTTACTTTCACATAAAAATATGTCTTTCAATTAAAATGCGATTTTATTGTTTTCCTTTTTTTTATTAGTTACTAGCACTTGCCATTGCCCGGGGATGTAACAGTAAGAGATAGATCAAGTATCGACCATCATAAAGACTGAAAAATAAAATTGACAAAGGTCAATTTAAGGTTCACGGACATGATGTCTTAATTTTCTTTTTTTTTTTTTTTTTTTTTCCGAATTGGTCAAACCCAAACTCAAAAACAAAATTCTTGTTTTCAATCATTATGAGTCTTTATTGAATAGAATTTTTTTATAAACAATTGTCTTGTAAATGGAATTTTAAAAGCATTCTGAATGAAAAAATAAAAAAAAAAAAAGTGACAAAAGACAATAAGAAACACTACCTTTTTTTTTTTTGAAATTTTCTGAAAAATTTAAAATCTAATCCCATTATACATGAACACACAGACACAAAAACAACCTGGCTTTTTATAAGTTTAAATCGATATGAGTTGTCCCCTTCATTCTTTCTCGCGATTAATCGTGTTTTCAAATTTATTTTGCCCAAAAAACAATTGTGTTTTTTTTTATTTTTGTCGCTGTTAGAACTACCGCATGGTAATTTTATTAGTCCTTTTATTTTGTTGAAATCGGTTGAAAAATTTAGGAAATTTTCTTCCAATATATAAACGTAAAGACACACACACACACACACACACACACACACGCGCACAATCAATCTGCATTTTATAAATAACTTAGATCATTTTATAAAAAACATAAGTTTGTGAGAAATCTTTTTATTTAGAAATGCATTTTATAAATATTATCAAAATATGTAAGGAGATACTCTTAACTTATTTTAGTGAATTTATGCATTGAGAACAAATGAAAGAATGCAATCTTTTTTTTAAATTTATAATTGCATTTACTCGTCGTTGGTCATTTATTTAAATTTTCTTGTTCAGACATTTTTATAAATTTATGGATAAATGAAGCTTTAACCATGTTAGATTGATAAACGTTTCCTATTTATTCTTTATCTTATCATTCTGTCAGATTCCGATTAGTATTTAATCCCAACTCATTAATCTTTTTATAAAACGGCAATTAATAATTATTTCATTTATAGTTGGCTGACATATTTTTTTAAAATAAATAAATATAAAATTATTCTTTAAAATAAGCAATCTAATAAATAGAATTTAATATCTTTGTTGTTAAGAAGAAGCAGAGGGAAGGAAATTGTTGAGAGCTGCAAGGGATAGGAGAAGGTGGAGAGCCATGATCGACTACGTTCTGAGAAAACACGGCACGTAAAAAGAATAGTTACATCATTAATATTATTATTATTAGTAGTAGTAGTATTTCTCCTTAGTAATTTGAAAGAAAAACTGACTAAAATGATGAACGAATGATAACCATGATAAATTCTGATCTAAAAAATTCAGATACTTAACCCAGGAAAAGGCAAGTGAAGTTTCTGGGACACGTAATGAGGAAGGAAGGCCTGGAGAATCTGATACTCACGGGTCGAATAGAGGGAAAGAGAGGCAAGGAATGCAGCGTTCGACATATTCTTCCTCGAACTTGAGTTCTATGACAGAAAGTGGTCTGAGTTCTTTTTTTTCTGAGAGCTTTAAGGGATAGAAGGAGATGGAGAGCCAAATCGACTACGTTCTGAGAGAACACGGCGCATAAAAAGAAAAGATAGATCCACTTTCATATGTTTGGGTTTTGTTAAAATTCTAATCATCGCTTTTTAAATGAATAAACCTTACCGCTTTTTCAAAGTTTACAGTAATATCGATGTCAAAAGAAATAGAATAAAGATAGCCTTTTGATTGACAGTTTTCTGCAGGGAACGTCGGTAAAACATGGTCATTCCTCAAATGTTTTTCCTTGTTATATTATTTTTCTTCCAACGTCAAGATTTCAGACATAAATAGTTGCGAGCCGGTGTATGCGTTTTAAAGACGTTCTCCTGAAATGGCCACAACCAACATGACAGACTCGGAATATGTGTCGACCTAATGAAAATAAGGAAACAGCAAGAACCGATACATATGTACAAACAAATGATAATGTATTAACAACAAAAAGTTAAAAGTGACAAAGAAAATATGTGTAACAAATGAATGTGGAAACCCTTTTGGTTCAGAGTATGTGTAGTGAGTGAATTTGTGTGTGTGTGTGTGTGTATGTGTGTGTGCGTATGTGTGTGTGTGTGTGTGTGTGTGTGTGTGTGTGTGTGTGTGTGTGTGTGTGTGTATAATGTCCATGCCTGTCTCAAAGGAGGGGTCACGTTCTTCCGGTAGAAAATTACATGTTGACGTCTCTGCGGAGAAATGAGAAAATGAGTTCAAGAAATGGTATCTCCGAGTATTTATAGTACCAGAAAGCGTCCCCTAGTAGCTGTTTCGAAAATTAGGAGGAGGTAACTCGATAGTAGATTTGCAAGAAAGGTATAAATTTTAATTAGCTTTTTTTTAAGCAAGGGAGATAATTCACCAATAGTCATATTGGTGGATGCGACAAAATAATAGACTATCAACTCATTCCACTGTTTCTGTTAGGAGGATTGAGGTATATAACGCTGGAGAAGCAATAATTCCAATAAGCCCTCAAGAATCTTCATTTTTAGACAATTCCAAAAACCCTTTATTTCCGTCCTTCCCATAAGCCATCTCTCTCCTTAACTTCAACAGGTTTTCCTGCGTCGCCAACAAGCAGCCATCTTGATACAGTATCATCCTCTCCACCAAGTCAATGGCAATAAAGAGCCATTGAAAAACACTTTTCGCTTCATTTATTGCCTTTCAAACCTTGATGGCTCACTTAGTTGATGGTCAATCTCCCCCGGCTGACCACTGCCTATCCCGAGGGGTCGTCATTCGAACAAGTCGTTGACCTTTTGCCTCGAACTGGGTACCAATGGTAAATAAAGACCAAATATGACGCGCAATCAACGTCCTTAAAAAGGAAATCCGCGTCGGACATGTTGGGTCATCGTTATTATTTTAAGAGAGCAGACATTTTTTTTTTTCGTGATGACGGTTGTACTCTTGAGAATAAAGGTCATGAGCGTGAATTGCATTAAATGTATGGACATATTTTCTTCCAATTTAGGATTTGGTTCGTTTTTGTTTTCTTTCGTTCCATTTTTCATTCATCTTTGTTTTTTTTGTTTTATTTTTTACTTGTTTTTCCTTTTTGTCAGCGTCGTTAAATTTATATTTATCGTACTTTTCTTCTTTTTGGCTTTCTTTATTCTTCCTTTCTTCTTCATCTTTTTGAATTTCTTTTTTTTTTTTTTCTTGATTTTTTTTCTTCTTGATTTCTCTATTCTTCATCTTTTTCTTCATTCTGGTTTGTGTTTTAATTTTCTTCATTTCTTTCATCTTCTTAACATTAATTTTTTTCTTTCTTTTCTTGGTTTCTTCTTCATGACTCTCTTTATTTAGCTTATTTTTTTCTTCGGGATTTTCTTTATTTCCCCTTCTTTTTTCTTCACCTTCATGAATTTCTTCATTTTCTTGATATTCTTCTTTTTCCTTTCTTGACTTTTTTCTTTTTTATGACTGTCTTTGGTCTTCCTCTTTTCGTCTTCGTAATTTTCTTTATTTTTCCTTTTTCTTCATTATAGCTTTCTTCATCTTGAATTTATTCATTTTTTTTTCTTTTCTTGACTTCTTCTTCATGATTTTTCTTTTTTTTTCCTTTTTTTTTTTTCATGATTTTTTTTTATTTTCCAGTCATCTTTATGGCTTCCTCCTTCTTCATCTTGAATTTATTCGTTTTTTTTTCTTTTCTTGACTTCTTCTTCATGATTTTCTTTGTTTTTCCTTTTTTTCTTCATGATTTTCTTTATTTTCCCTTTCTTCATCATTATGGCTTCCTCCTTCTTCATCTTGATTTTCTTCGTTCACTTGACATTCTTCTTTTTCTTTTCTTTTCTTGATTTCTTCTGGAATTTCTTTATTCTCCCTCTTTTCTTCTTCGAAAAATCCTTTATTCTTTTATGAATTTCTTTTCTTTCTTGATATTTTTATTTGTTTTCGTCTTGTCAGCCATCTTCTAATTTTCATTCTTATCTTCCTTCTCCTTAAGAAAAAAAGTTAAATTAATTCTCCACCTTTTTCGTCTTTGTGGATTTCCTCTTTTTGGCTTTCTTTATTCTTATATTCAACCATTTTCTTTAACTTCTTTTTCTTCTTCCTATTTTCTTTTTTTTTTTTTTTAAATGTTTTCTTTGTTTAACTTCTTAAATTTTTTTATTTTCCTGTTTATCGATCTTTTTCATTTTTACTTGTATTTTGCCTTTTTCCCCTATTTTTTCTCTGTTTCTTAGTTTTCCATTCCTTCCTCTTCCTTTTCTTCTCGATTTCTTTTTCCTCCTTCTTCTAAAACCCTCTTTCACTTTACCTTTATGTATTACAACGTTTTCTCTTTCACTTTTTCCCACTCCTTTTCTTTAATGAAAAGAGGTAGAATAAAGAAATTCCTTTATAGAATATACACTTTTTTCTTTTCTTTTTGACCCCAAGGCATTTTTTCTAGGTTTTATCTTTATTGTCCATCGCGTTGTTTTCTAGTCTTATTTCTTTTTCGTTTTTTATTTTTGATATTCATTTATCATATTATGATTATCATTCGATTACAACTATCTATTCCCACTTCAAAGCCTCGTTCTTTCTTTCGTTTTTTCGTTCGTTCTTTTTTTTCGGTCTTTCTTCGCCATTTTCCTGTATATTTTAATCTAATTATTATTTTCCTTCTTAACTTTCTTCCTATTTCTCTTCACTTATTTTATAGTTCCTCTTTTTCGTTTTACCAAGTTTCTTCTTCCTCTTCCTCGCCTCTTTCTCCATATTCTATTTTCTCCATTCTTTCCCTGGCTTCTTTTTTCCCTTTTTCTTCTTCTTATTCTTCGCTTCCTTTCTTTATTTTTTTAATTTTCTGTTTTATTCTTTTTCTATTCAACTTGCTTTTTTTATCCGTTTTTATTTTCCTTTCATAATCTTTATTTTTCTTTTTTCTTTTTCTGTTTCATTTCAGCCTTCTTTATTCTCTTTTTCATTTTTCTTTTTTTTTCTTCTTCTTCCTTTGCTTTTTCTTTCTTTGTTCATCTATTTATTTCTTATTTCTTCTTCTTCTTCTTCCCGTTAGTTTTCTCCTTTTTATATTTCCGTTTTCCTTTTTGGTTCTTCGCATTCTTCTTCTTTGCATTGTTTATTCATTCTCTTTTCCTTTTTCCTTTCTTCTTCTTCTTCTTCTTCTTCTTCTTCTTCTTCTTCTTCTTCTTCTTCTTCTGTTACTTTTATTGTCTGTTGGCGTCTCCAGTAGAAGAATAGGTTTCAATAAATGGTCGACATTTTGACGAGAACGCCGAGTCATAGAAGTTCGGAAAACAAGATAATGAAGACAACCCCCGAAGTGACCCGGAGCGGGTGGAAGTTGATGACGGGAGGGGACTCCTTTCATTCTCTGAAGACAAGCAACAGGCAAAAGAAATCAAGAGAGCATTGTCCGAGGAGGTGCTGAAAAATTCTCAGCCCCACTAAGCGAACATTTAAAAAAGAAAATCTGGTGTTTGGTCAGATTTGGCGAAGTAATTCGGCTCGAGAGCATTCCAGTACTCTTTCGATAAGCTGAAAAAAAAAAAAACAACTATCAAACGAAAGAAAGAAAAAAAGAAAGAAAGAAAGAACGTAGACATCAGATAAAGGTTACTGACAAAAATACACTTTCGGCATGCATATATTGATCTGACATCTTCCACCCCCAAAAGGTAGTGGCAAATTTCCATACTACATTCGGCTCACATTCTCCCTAATGCCTCGTACATGTACAGGTGAGTTTAATTCACTTACAATATATTTATCCTCACAGGATGCCCCCTAATTTCGGCCTTGTGCCACATCTAAGCCACGCTTGGAAAATCACTATTTATTCGTATGTACATTTCTGTCAACTATTTTTACACAAATATGTACACCAACGAGGTGTCTCTCGGCAGATGAGGATATTTTTACAATGCTTACAATTTATATTGTGTTTATTAACTAAACGGAACACACTTCAGTGAATTTGATAACTAGGAAGATTGTGTTGCGTCAAACTTTCTAGTATGGCAGGCCTACTTGCCTTGACAATCGGCATTCAAACTACCGTAATTACCCTATTTCAAACAATAGGAAATGATAAATCTGATCAGGAAGGAGATCGGAGGTTTTATACTGTAGTTTCCTTCCACATCTTTAAAACAATCAGACAAAAGCCAATTTGGATAGGCTGCGCTTTGAGTGTGTCTTTGGTGCATGCATTTGCATAGTTTTGTTTAAATTTTATTTTGGTTACGATTAAAGTAGTACTTAATATAAATTTCTAGTGACCCCACTTTTTTTAACCATTTCGCCCAAGCAAGGTTATAAAGCCGCTGAAATGTAAGGGGTTACTCGGTGTGAAAGAATAAGAAAAAAAAGAATTATTAAGGTGCGAGAACAATAAAAGAAGAGTAATCAATAAGACATTAGATAACGATTGACATTGCATTTAAGTTTTTGAAGAACAAATTTGGACGTAAAGCATGAAAGCAGAAGAGAGTTCCACAAGGGAGCAGTGCGAGAGAAGAAACTTGTAGCAGCTTTCCCATATCCAGCCAATTTCCAGTCAGTTTGCAAGTGGGCCCGAGCTAATATCCAGTCGGTTTGCAATTAGACCCGGGCCAATTTCCAATCAGTTTGCAAGTAGGCCCGAGCCAATATCCAGTCGGTTTCCAATTAGACCCGAGTCAATTTCCAATCAGTTTGCAAGTGGGCCCGAGCCAATATCCAGTCGGTTTGCAATTAGACCCGAGCCAATTTCCAGTCAGTTTGCAAATGGGCCCGAGCCAATATCCAGTCGGTTTGCAATTAGACCCGGGCCAATTTCCAATCAGTTTGCAAGTGGGCCCGAGCCAATATCCAGTCGGTTTGCAAAAGAACCTTGCAATTAGTTTGCACCAGGGCCAATTTCAATCAGTTTGCAAGTGGGCCTGAGCCAATATCCAGTCGGTTTGCAATTAGACCCGAGCCAATTTCCAATCAGTTTGCAAGTGGGCCCGAGCCAATATCCAGTCGGTTTGCAATTAGACCCGGGACAATTTCCAATCAGTTTGCAAGTGGGCCCGAGCCAATATCCAGTCGGTTTGCAATTAGACCCGAGCCAATTTCCAATCAGTTTGCAAGTGGGCCCGAGCCAATATCCAGTCGGTTTGCAATTAGACCCGAGCCAATTTCCAATCAGTTTGCAAGTGGGCCCGAGCCAATATCCAGTCGGTTTGCAATTAGACCCGGGCCAATTTCCAATCAGTTTGCAAGTGGGCCCGAGCCAATATCCAGTCGGTTTGCAATTAGACCCGAGCCAATTTCCAATTAGTTTGCAAATGGGCCGGAGCCAATATCCAGTCGGTTTGCAATTAGACCCGAGCCAATTTCCAATCAGTTTGCAAGTGGGCCCGAGCCAATATCCAGTCGGTTTGCAATTACCCGGACAATTTCAATCAGTTTGCAAGTGGGCCGAGCCAATATCCAGTTTGCAATTTTCAAGTTTCAAATTTGCAAGACCCGAGCCAATATCCAATCAGTTTGCAAGTGGGCCCGAGCCAATATCCAGTTGGTTTGCAATTAGGCCCGTGCCAATTTCCAAATTTTTTTTAGCAATTTCAATCAGTTTGGGCCCGAGCCAATATCCAGTCGGTTTGCAATTAGACCCGGCCAATTTCCAATCAGTTTGCAAGTGGGCCCGAGCCAATATCCAGTCGGTTTTTGTTGCAATTAGACCGAGGCCAATTTCCAATCAGTTTGCAAATGGGCCCGAGCCAATATCCAGTCGGTTTGCAATTAGACCCGAGCCAATTTCCAATCAGTTTGCAAGTGGGCCCGAGCCAATATCCAGTCGGTTTGCAATTAGACCCGGCCAATTTCCAATCAGTTTGCAAGTGGGCCCGAGCCAATATCCAGTCGGTTTGCAATTAGACCCGAGCCAATTTCCAATCAGTTTGCAAGTGGACCCGAGCCAATATCCAGTCGGTTTGCAATTAGACCCGGGCCAATTTCCAATCAGTTTGCAAGTGGGCCTAGCCAATATCCAGTCGGTTTGCAATTAGACCCCAGGACAATTTCAATCAGTTTGCAAGTGGGCCCGAGCCAATATCCAGTCGGTTTGCAATTAGACCCGAGCCAATTTCCAATCAGTTTGCAAGTGGTCCGAGCCAATATCCAGTCGGTTTGCAATTAGACCCGGGCCAATTTCCAATCAGTTTGCAAATGGGCCGGAGCCAATATCCAGTCGGTTTGCAATTAGACCCGGCCAATTTCCAATCAGTTTGCAAGTGGGCCTGAGCCAATATCCAGTCGGTTTGCAATTAGACCCGAGCCAATTTCTAATCAGTTTGCAAGTGGGCTGAGCCAATATCCAGTCGGTTTGCAATTAGACCCGTGCCAATTTCCAATCAGTTTTGCAAAGTGGGCCCGAGCCAATATCCAGTCGGTTTGCAATTAGACCCGGCCAATTTCCAATCAGTTTGCAAGTGGGCCCGAGCCAATATCCAGTCGGTTTGCAATTGGGACCCGGCCAATTTCAATCAGTTTGCAAAGTGGGCCGGAGCCAATATCCAGTCGGTTTGCAATTAGACCGGGACAATTTCCAATCAGTTTGCAAGTGGGCCCGAGCCAATATCCAGTCGGTTTGCAATTAGACCCCGAGCCAATTCCAATCAGTTTGCAAGTGGGCCTGAGCCAATATCCAGTCGGTTTGCAATTAGACCCGAGCCAATTTCCAATCAGTTTGCAAGTGGGCCTGAGCCAATATCCAGTCGGTTTGCAATTAGACCCGACTAATTTCAAATTTTTGCAAGTGGGCCTGAGCCAATATCCAGTCGGTTTGCAATTAGACCCGGGCCAATTTCAATCAGTTTGC